AGAGAAATTCTCTACAACTAAAGCTGCAGAAGTAGCACAGGAGTATTTCGCCAGCTACAGAATTGTAGATAAAAGCTACAGGAGCAGCTATCGAGAGAATTTTCTACAACTACAGCTACACAAGTCGCACAGCTAGGAGTATTCCTACAACTACAGCTACAGGAGTAGCTACCACCAGGATGAGTCAAACTGATGGAAAAATCAAGATGACCTTGAAAATGTAAGAAATGTTTCATACCTCCTTTTAACTTTTATAATTGTAAAAACTCCTAAATCCATAACTGAACAAATTTTGAAATTCTGACTTTTATCTAATGTAAACATTTTTTATGTTGGAATTCTATAGATGAGATATTTAAAGGAAGGTATATTAATATTGTAACGTCAAGCATCTGATGATTTTATATTTTAGGCTTTTTGACCATGCTCTGAAGTACAATAATTTTAGACTAGTGTCATGCATTTTCATGATCACAAAATGATCTGACCCTAAAGCAAACATTATCAAGATTTGATCTCAACCTAGATATTTTCCGGTTAATGTAAAAAATGCAAATCTAATATTTGGTGTTTGGCTTATTTTATAAGTCTGACGGATTTAATCATTTCTCTGCTATTTTTTAGTATTGAAACATAAATGATATCAAGAGTTTAAGAACAATCTGTTCAGTTCTATAATCATAAAATAGATACAGGTCATGAATGCGTTCTAGATCTTTCTATAATTAACATCTTTAAACATCTTAAATAAAACTATATGTTGGCCAAACTTCTACATTATTCTGATTAGGCTATTTTGGTCTAGTATAGATTGGGNTGTCTGGGTTACCCTATGATTTTGCCTCAGAATATAAATACTATTGCCATTGGTGGCAGCATTTGGTTTGGACTGTGAAGGTTATGCTGCAGTGCCGGCCCCATAGCCTGTCCTAGCCGCGGCGCTCGGCCCCCTAGCCTGTGCTAGCCGTGGCGCTTGGCCCCCTAGCCTGTGCTAGCCGCAGCTCTTGGGCCAGAAATTGTCTTAACCTAACCTAACCCTCAATAATAAAAAGTAAAAGGAGTTTTGTCTATCCGCACCGCTACGTTCCATTGCCTATGCAGTATACAAATGTCCAGATGTTCAGTAATCTTGGTGGGGATTTTGAAGATTCACTTTCCAAACATGTTCGCAATAACATACCAATACATGTTGACAATATCATACCAATACATGTTCACAATATCATACCAATACATGTTCACAATAACATACAAATACATGTTCACAATATCATACCAATACATGTTCACAATATCATACCAATACATGTTCACAATAACATACAAATACATGTTCACAATATCATACCAATACATGTTCACAATTTCATACCAATACTGGGTATTTCGCGAAACTTTCCGAATCAAATGCCGCCACCTGTTATTCTATAGTATTTATATTCTCAGGATTTTACCCCTTAGAGAGTGTAATTCATTTCCCTAGTCCAACTTTTCAAGGCCAACTCAGTTAAAAAAGGTTAACCTCCGACTTGTCAGATTTTTTTTTTAGATTTGACAAATATTATCACATTTTTATTTATTGCATCTATTTTTCAAGGGATTTTTAAATAAATTATTTTATAGATCTATGACTTAATTAACGAAAAAAGTCATTGAAAGTTTTTATTTTTTTGAAACACCATGGAACCAGCAATGGTTTATGATCATCAGAATGTACACTGATACAAGGAAAAATGTGTTGTTCAAGCTGGGAATTATTTCCCAGAGTGAAAAACCTTATGGGCGGAACAGGAGTTAAAAAAAGACAAATGATTGAGCCTACAAGGAATCAAAGATAACCTTGCCTTCAGCGGATATAAGAAACTTTGACAAAGCATAAACTTGTCCGCCTTGGAAAGGAGAAACAGCAATGATGAAGATTCCTTCGTCAAACATCATGGGTAATGATGAAAGAATTAGGAACCAGCCATGGTTTATGATCATCAGATTTACATAAATTTACATTAAAGGGAGTGTTCGCGAAAAATGAAAGGGGATATAGGCTTAATGCGATAAAAAAGCGCTTTTGATCGCTACTAATCTTACCTCTATATATCTGTTGCGTCTAAAAGGAGAAAATTGTTAAAAACGACTCACACCAAAGAACGCAGCGTCCATACAAATTCGGAAAGATGCAGCATTCAACTCGGATCGTAAACAAATCAATTTAATTTAAAAAAATCATTCAGATATTACAAACAATAGTCATCGATTATTTTTCGACTCATTCGTATATAGTTAATATTTCATAATATTTTTGATTTTTTTTTAAATAATTTTCGCTGGCGCTGAATTTTCGAACATTCCTGGAAAATATGAAAATGTCGTCTTCATTATCAAAAATCCTCGAAACAGGAATAAATGTTTCTAAAAGTAACTATCAGATCATGAAAAATTCAAAATATTATGAAATATCAACTATTTACGAATGCGTCGAAAAATAATCGATGACTATTGTTTGTAATATCTGAATGATTTGTTTGGAATAAAATTGATTTGTTTAAGATCCGAGTTGAATGTTGCATCTTTCTGAATTTGTATACGTTCATCGGTATTAGTCGTTTTTAGCAATTTTCTTCTTATAGACGCAACAGATAGAAGTAAGATTAGTAGCGATCAAAAGCGCTTTTTTATCGATTAAGCCTATACCCTCTTTCATTTTTCGCGAACTCTGCCTTTAAAAAAGTATGAATTTTAAATAATATATCATCTGAGTTGGAAGCAGAAAAGGGGATTTACAATTAGCTATATATAGAAAATTCCAAGCCGTGGATAAGGATTAGTTAACCTCGCACCAAAGAGAAATCTCGGAGGGAGATTAAGTCAGAGCTGGGGCTAGGCATATGCAAAGCCCATATCCAGACTCTATCTAGACTACTCACAATTCACAAAACATTATAGTTTTTGGAAAAACTTGAATATTAAAATGCAAGAAAAGCATAAGTACAAGATGTAAAATTATATAAAATTTTCTTTTTTTCTATAAAACTGCAATAATTCTGCAACAGTTCAGGAATTTGTGAAATTTAGAAAAACAAAATAAGAAGTCTTAATCTCAATAATTAACAAAAATAATTTAACAAAAATTTTTTATGTTCCATTAAAACCTTAATGAACTTGTTCAGATTTTTCGAAAAAAAGGCTTTTGGTGGATGTAAAAGCCAAATATTTGATGTTGGATATCGAATTGTTGGACGTGAGACAACGTTGGGCAGCCTGTCAGACGTAGCATGTGACTTGGAGACGATTTTGATTGGCTAGGAGACCATTCTGCAAATCCGTATAGGCTCCGGAGCTCAGTTTTCGGGGCTCATGGATGCTCTGCATCCCCTCCCTCTTTCTGTTGGAGTTAAAATTTTCCATTGAGCAAATCTAAGGAAGGCAATTGTTGAAAGATATATTTTTGAGATGGTAAAACTCAAGATTATGTGGAACCTTTCAAAGTATAAACACCTTAGAAGTTTGACAGAGAGGAACCTTAAGTTATCACCCATTACTATCTACATACAGGTAGGGTTGTTAGTCGTTTTTGAAAACGATCGTTAAACGATCGTTTTTTTCGTTTTCCTATCGTTTTTTGTTTTGTTTTCCGATCATTTTAAAAACAATCGTTTTAAAAACTTTTAAAAAAACGATAGTTTTTAAAACGAATGGAAAACGAAACAAAAAACGATAGGAAAACGAAAAAAAGATCGTTTTTCAAAAAAATGAAAACGTTAACATTCCTACATACAGGGATACCCACAATGGATGAGACAATAGAGACGACCTAAAACTCTTTAAATATGACGATTCCAAGGTTTTTATGGCATTTTTGATGATTTATTATAGGAAGGACATGTTTAAAATTTCAGGGAATCATAAATATAGGGAAATAGATAAATATAGGGAAATAGATAAATTCCGAACAGTCTTCTCTAAGGTCTTTTTTTGTGGGTAACCCTGTAGCATTTAGTTTGAAATCCTGAACATTTCTCACATCAATGCTACAGTTAAACCCTAAATAAGCCATACATCGAAAAAATTTATCAAATGTCTTATTCTTCACTTTCTGACAGTGGAATGTTGCAGGTATTTAGTCTTTTAATTAAATGATTATATGGAGCTCTTTAAAACTGTTTCCGCATATTCATGGCTGTTTATCTATTTATTTTTTTCTAAATGATCAATTTTCGGCCAAGTTTGGCCAATTTTCGGCCAAGTTTCGGCCATGTTCCGGCTATGTTTCGGCCAAGTTTCAGCCAAGTTTCTGCCATGTTTCGGCCATGTTTTGGCCATGTTTTGGCCAAGTTATGGCCAAGTTTCGGCTAGGCTCATCAGAAAAGTTGTCAACTATTGCAAGTTTCCGTAACTGTAAAATCAAGCATTTGCCGCCAAGACTGAATGTTGAAACTTCTAACTATCGCAAGGTTATAATGCAAGGAAAGTTAATTGCTGTTGCGTAAACTCTGCGTACACATTGGAACCAGTTCTATCTGGGCTGTGTTTATAAACAAGAATAGATGCATCAGTGCTCTTCTAGTATCCAAGGAGAATAAAAGCATTTAAGTTTGAAAATTCACATAAAAGTTTCCTATGATCAGAATATTTCATTGATTTTTAATGTGAAAATTGATCCCATGTCAGGCTGTGACATCCGTCTTTTGTTTACTTTACCGCCAAGAGACAGTAAACCGAGTACTAAAACTATCTATCTTTACATTATAATTCTTCAGAGATGGAATTTAAAGAATTTAAGCCGCGGTTTAAATCCGCCAAACCCCGGTTTAAATTAAGCGCCGGTTTAAATATTGAAACATTTGATACAATTTTAAGTGGAACCAACCATATTTAAACCGCGGCTTCAATTTAAACCGCCGCCCAAATTCTTTAAATTCGGCCACTGGCTGTCGTATGTTTATATTTCACTTTTCTCTTTCATATTTCTTCGTCTTACATTATTTCTCTTGTATTATTTAGAATTTAAAACAATTTTTTATTTTCCTAATTATGTATATGATTAAAGTAGAAATATAATTATAATTCATAATTTCGTTGTTATCCAATTATTGAGATAGAATCTTGGACTCCAGCTTCCAGCTGTAAGGTTTGGTTAGGCCGAACTGTATTGGTAGACCTAAATAATCATTTAATAATTAATATAAAGGAGAAGGTAAGTAAAAAAGGGTATGATTAGTGTTGTCTTATATAGCGTAAATCGGAAACATTGTTTTTTTTGTCAAAACGGCTGAACCGATCGGGCCCAAATTTTTTGTGGAACATCACGTGACCACAGGGAAGGTTTATGAATGATCAAAATTTCAAATATTTGTCTCCATCAAAATTCGATCTTCATTAAATTTTTGAAAATTTTGAAAATCCACGAATTTTTTTGTGAAAATTCCCGAATTATTTTTGTTTTGTTTTACGATGTACACAAAGAAAACTGCTCACAATTAATTTAGAAGATGGGCGCGAAGCGCCTTATAAGGCTAGTTATATAATATTAGTAAATATTAAATATTACTGCGCATGCCAACATTTAAAAATAATAAGAAATCCGGTGAAAAGGTACTTTTATGAAAAACATATTTGAATATATAAATTTATCATTATAATTACACATCATTAAAGATTTTAACTTGTCAATCAATAATTGATAATCTATAAGATTAAGTCGGTGAAAAGAAACAAATATTTGTGTCTGTCTGACTGGGTGTTTAAATGTTAGTGTCCAATATGGTCAAAACGGCTGAACCGATTGGGCCCAAATTTGTGCATTCTGTGTAAAAATAAAAAAATAAAGAAAATTATTTACCTCACGTCCATTTTGAGGCTGGGGTGGCCTGTAGTTATTACTAAAATAATTTTTTATTTTAATTTCGATTCAAATCTTTACAGCTAGCAAAGGACAGTCAACGTAATTTTGCCACTTTGTAAATTAGGTGTTTACTGACGAATATCAAGTAAAATATGAAGAAAAAAAATTTAAAACTTATAAATGATTAAATTAATTACTTCATTGATTGTCCATCTTGGTCTGTCAGGCTTCTTATAATATTGAGCTGATCCTCTGTATTCACAAACAGTTTTGATAAATAGTACGGTCAAATCTGAGTATATGTAATTTGGACCCCCCCCCCTTATATTTCTAGGCAACCTCGCGTAATTAACCTTACCTCACCTAGAACAGTTTGATCCTCCAAGATTGCAAAAAAAGGAATTGATTCTTTGCCACACATTCTGGTTTCTAATTCCTATATCTCTAACCCAATGTCGTAGACCTTAGATATTTTAAACTATGAATTCAATTAATTGAAGTTTAAAATATCAAAGGTTTACACCTTCAGGCTGCAAAAGAAGATTTGAGTTTATGACCAAAACTGAATTCCTTTACGATTTTATTTTTATTCACCTAATTCATTTTATAACGTTTATTTAACAGCTTTAAAAAATTCGAAATTGAAATGGGTAGTCTAGGGAACATACATTATTAATGTACTTTACTGCATATAATTCTTGAACATTTACATGATTTGTACACTTTGAACTCCCTTTCAAAATTCAAACCAAGGGATTTCTAAATTCTCCTCTACTATATATTCTAATCTCTATGTCCATGGAACAACTAGATCCATACATACTCCTTGTATTAATAGGAGCTTTCTTAACTTTGTTTCTTTATATTTGTATATTTAAGATGATATTAGGCATAGTTTTAATATCTCATTAGACATGAAAACCTTTTTCATTTTCAATTAAGAGGCTTCACAAAAACTGGTCCTGCATATTATATATTAGGTATATATATATATATATATATATACCTAATATATAATATGCAGGCATATTGCTTAGGTAGAATTTTATTGTTGTTGCAAAACTTTAAAGCTTAAGCGATTTTTTAAAATGTTTTTAACGAACGAAAGAAAATATTTTGAAGATCTTTTCACCCAAACACTTTAAATGTTTACCAAACTGTTTTGTCTATATTTCTGTGGAAGTCTTAAAAATGAGCAAATGTGGGAAATTTTAAAAACTGTTCCTGAAATACTAATTTTATCTTGGAACACATTCCAGAATACACTTTCTAAGCACGTAGGGGTTGTCAGGGAACCCTGAAAAAAAGAATATGAAGAAGAGTTAAAGGAAATAAACACTCACCACATTTTTGTTTTTATCCTCATATGTTTGCAACCTGCGTGATGCAGAAATAGAATCAAGTTTAAGTTTAAAGTAGCCTCGGGTTGCAATAATACATACTGTTTAGGTCCTTTAACTTAGAGTTGCAAATCGTTTTCGTTTACGAACATTGTCGAGTTTTATTAAATCTGATGTAACGGTCCTCCCTGCCAACACAATTGTCTTCAACGATAGGAAAATGTACGACAGCGTTATGTCAAAATTTAACAGAAGGTATTGAGAATCAGCAAATTTTTCTGTCATTTATCTGTTTTCGTGCTAAATCCGTCAATGGTTAAAATAAAATAGATCAACTTATTCTGTAACTTATAAGAAGCTGGAATTTACTACAGAAGATTAATTAACTTAACGGAGAAGGTTGTGAAAGAATTTTTTGAATCTCAATGCTACATGGAAAATCTGAAAGACGGAAATTGAGCAGCAGACATCTTTTGAGAAATGCTCGTTTTTCCAACTTAAAATTTTAATGATTAGTATCCTTTTTAATAATGCTTCAAACGGTAAATAAATAATTGAAAATGTTATCTAACCTTGTAATGAAGATGGTTTACTGGATCTGTTGGTATAATATCCTGTAGTTTAATGGATCCAATCTCAACTTTATAATTGTTGTCATATCCATCCAACTCTTTCAAACCGTCTAGTACTGGAGTGTAGCCAGTGTTGTTGGAATCTGACACCTAAAAGCAGGACATAAACTTTTTAGACTATGAATAGAGTATAGACCATAGACTTTAGACTAAAGAATAAAAAAACTAGAGTGAAATCAACGGTGTAATATGTAATCTTGGTTTTTACGTCAATAGCTACATTTCTGAGTTACTTCTGTGCTAATTGGTTCCATTGCTTGTGCGAAAGTCATGCAGATTTGAACACTCTTACAGCGGACAGAGTGAAATTGTGAAGTATGAAGACGAATTTAGATAAAATTTTCAATATTTCATTAAACAGGAAAACATCAATATAGTGCAGTGTACACTGTACAGTGACCTATTTTAGTTTGTAAATCTATTAGTAAACAATTTGCTTTATCACAATGTTAACAAGTTTCACTATAGGAAATTGTCTTAACAGATTGCTGAATGTACAATGTACATCTATGATTTTTTCATTTACTTTGAAAATTTAAAAACTTTAAAACCTTGAAATGTACACCGCGGTCCACCTGACCAGCCTGACCATCCTGGACTGGGACCAGATTTAATAAACAGCGAGGTTTAGTTCAATCACTTTTCATGTGTGCTGAATCAAGCTAAAAGTATCACCTGATAGAAAAATCCAACAACAGCTAATCCATCAGAAGCTTGTGCTGCAATTTGAATATCTTCATACTAAAATTATCATAAATTAGTTTTTTAAAATATTTTTGAATTATGATAAGATACTTTTGATGACGAAAGAAAAGGTTTGCGAACTCTACATTATTCCTTTAAAAACACAATCCAGAGTTTCATTTACAATACGATCGTGAAAATGTACATGTATGGTCGTTGAACTGAGAATGAAGTATTATCGAGAAATTTTGAAAGATTCATTTGAGACATATAAAACGTTTCAATGATGTTTTAGAGAGTAAGAACAAGTCTATGATATAGTTTATTAGCAATATATTTTTAGGTAATAAACTACATGCAGGATAACATGTTGATCCGATGCAGGTTGGAGAACTACTCTATTTTCTTAGGTTAATCGTTTCTATCCCGTATTTTATATCATTATTTCGAGGATTACTAGTTTTGATTTACAGAGAAAACCCATCCTCAGCTAGGAACTTTTGAATGGTGGATATCAGGATTAACCAATCGGGATTAAGGATATTACATTCTAAAGTTTTCAGCTCTGTACAGTGTATAATTACTGAGTTTGAGCGTAAAGTCACTTAAAATCATCCATTTGGATGGAGAATCGATTTTTCTTAAATTATCAAATAACGAATACAAAAATGTTTCAAACATTCTAAAGTGAATCAATTAGCTGTTCAGTAAAAATATTTTTTTAATGTCATCATTATTCACCTTTGTATTCCAGTGTACAAAATGTATTTCAGCAGGATACTCAGTACCTGTGAGTCTAGACATTCAACTGTTATTTGAAATGTATTTTATTTTAGAAATTAAGTTTATCAATTTTTATGAATTGCAACCAGATGTCGCAATGTATATATTTTTAGACCAAAATAGTGAAAGTTTGAAGATGTCTACGACATCATATTGTAAAAATGATTAGGATATTATTAGGCAAGTAATTAGTTTCGTTATCTAATTGTCCAAAGGTTGGCCGGGTACTTGAACTAGACCTGAGTTCTAACAGTTTCGTTATCTAATTGTCCAAAGGTTGGCCGGGTACTTGAACTAGACCTGAGTTCTAACAGTTTCGTTATCTAATTGTCCAAAGGTTGGCCGGGTACTTGAACTAGACCTGAGTTCTAACAGTTTCGTTATCTAATTGTCCAAAGGTTGGCCGGGTACTTGAACTAGACCTGAGTTCTAACAGTCTAATTGTCCAAAGTTCTCAAGGCGGAATTATTTTCCGGAAATGTAAAACTTGAACCTGTGCTCCGATCCTCTAGAACTATCGCTTCCCCAGTGGAGATGAAGTTGTGCAAATTCAAACCTAAATTTTAGCAATATTATTTGCCAAATCACCACTAAAATCATGCTCTGCACAAATGCTAAAACTTATTTAAAGAATTTTTTCCAAGGTTTTAACTTAAACCTTTTTTTGATCAACTTCCTTAAAATTATGAATTGTCATCCTATAAAGGGATTCATTATTTGGCACAAACACTCAGTTATCTTTGCAATCCAATGTTGTAGACTTTAGATATTTCAAACTATGAATTCTGTTGGATCAAATATCAAAGGTTTACACCGCATCAGGTTGCAAAGATATAGGAATTTAAAAAATTGATTTTGTGATTAAGACTCAATTCCTTTATTCATTTATTAGTATTCTTTATATGTTCATTTTTTTTGTTTTAATGTAAATAGCATTAATAGAATCGGCCATTGTTTTGTTATTTGAATAACATTATTATATCATAGTCTCATTTTTATTCTTTACACGTTTTTTCACCCTTTTGTTAACGAAGGATTGATTTTCTTCGTACACAGTTTTAACGAGCAAAATTTTATGTTAAAAATTTTCGAAAGTTTAAATGTTTGAAAAACGAATAAAAAAAAACTATTGCCATAAAATATTTAGAATTTTTTCACAATCGAAAATGCTAAAACTTTATCTTACTTTTCTCCAGCCGGAAGGGATCCTCCTTGAATTGCTGGCATTTTTTCTCCTAAATATAATAGCTAAATATAATAGCTAAATATAATAGCTAAATATAATAGCTAAATATAATAGCTAAATATATCCAGAAATCTTTATTATTTCTATTTTTGTTCCTTTTTGGATTTTGCGATGCAGTGACGAAATGTTTAATTGTTTTTAACAAATTCGGTGAACCATAAAAAATAACTAATTGGACTTAAACTTTTAAAAAAATCTTCTATTATTGGATAATGCATGAAAAGAAATAACACAATGAATTTTTTAATATGTAATTGATCTTTTTATAACAGTTTTAAAAACATAACAATTACAATTTTGAAAATCCTTAGCAAAGGAAATTGCTTATTCGACTAAGTTAAGAAATTTGTCACCTTTGTAATTATAGTATTTTGCGAGAAACCAGTTCCATTCATAATTAAAAGAAAGAACGAAGTCGAAAAAACATTCCACAATTTTCTGGTTACCACTGTAGCATTTTATTTACTTAATCACCTGTCAAATGAACTGAAAAGGTATGCCCATTCTGACTAACAGTTGCAGCATAGGAATCTCTAAATATTTCCTCATGAATATAATCGTGGAATCTATACATATAAAGCTGTAATATCTGTTGGTCTGTCTGTTTTGTTTTTCCGCTTGTAACCCGGGAACCCCTTCACCGATTTGACTTAAACTCGTCATCCACTGGAATGTTCTTAGCTTGATTTAACGATTCTAAGTTGAGAGGGTCGGCTTTAATAACGAAAATTTAGTTTCCCGGTAAAATAGTTCAAGTGGCGTAAACGACGGGAGCAAGGATTTAATGCAAGGAAAGTTATTTCAGAGGTGTACGCATCTTTTTTACTGCAGTGTACTGTCACTGGGCGGTAATGTAAACACAAGACGGATGTCGAAGCCTGACATGGGATCCATCTTTCACATAAAAGATCAATGAAATATTCTGGTCATAGGAAACTATTATGTGAATTATCAAAATTATCAAAATTTAATGCTTTTAACCTCCTCGGATACTAAACGAACAATGATGCATCTATTCTTGTTTTCAAATTCCGCCCAGAGAGAACTGGTTTCAATATGTACGCAGAGTATACGCAACTGCAATTAACTTTCCTTGCATTACATTCTTGGGCGGGAGTAGCTATACGTAACCTGGGAAGCGCTTGGTTCCTAAGCTAGTATATACATATACATAAAGCTATATTTATGGCACTAGATTTTAAGACGTATAAACGTTTAATCAACATGTTACGTAACTAGGTTTGGCAAAGACCCTGAACACTCGACACAAACTCTAACTTTTTCCTATCAAATATGTCATAGCAACCTGATGTAAAACGTTCTTATCATTTGGAGTAAATGTTTTAATAATGTTCAGGTCGAAATGTTTTGTTTAAATAATATTTTTTAAATGATTACCCATAACCCATGAATTCGAGAGGACTAGCTGCTTCACTATTTTAGAAAAAATAATTCAGTTCGTACATTTTGAAATCCAGCTAGATGTAACAAGAATGTTTTCATTTGTTTTAATGAGAAGTCAACTCATAAGATTTTTTGCATATTTAAATATTTAAATATTTGAATATTTGAATATTTGAATATTTGAATATTTGAATATTTGAATATTTGAATATTTGAATATTTGAATATTTGAATATTTGAATATTAAAATATTTGAATATTTGAATATTTGAATATTTGAATATTTGAATATATGAATATTTGAATATAACTTCTGGAGTGAAACGTAAGTTGTGCCTGACAATTTTTTTGATAAAACTACATTTTTTAATAAGTTAGCTTGTTTTACATTCAATCATACTTTACTTTTACAATAGTTTTTACACAAACCATTCAAAAACTTGTTCAAACTCGAATTCCTTCATTAAAATAAACATTTTACAAATGTAAGACGTTATGAGATAAAACCCAAAAGGCCAACAACGATGATAAAAATAAAAATGTCTAAAAAAGAAATTAAGTCTTTGTATCAAACTGATTAGCCCCTATATCTTTGCAACTTGATAGTGTAAACCTGATATTTTAAACCTAAATTTGTTATCTAACAGAATTCATTGTTTGAAATATCTAAGGCCTAAAAGATTGGGTTGCAAAGAAAAAGGGATTAGAAAAACAAAGTAAAGCTGAATTATTCCTTGGTTTTGCTGCAGAAACATCAATATCTATAGGAGATTGCGACTTTCCAGCACACAGAGGGAAGGTCTTGTACCATACATCAGGTCCTGATAGTTGAGAATATGTTAATTAAAAAGTAAATGAGGTTTGTACCATACATCAGGTCCTGATAGTTGAGAATATGTTAATTAAAGTACATGAGGTCTTGTACCATACATCAGGTCCTGGTAGTTTATAATATGTTAATTAAACAGTACAGAGGGAAGGTCTTGTACCATACATCATGTCCTGGTAGTAGAGAATATGTTAATTAAAAAATACAAAGGGAAGGTCTTGTACCATACATCAGGTCCTGGTAGTTGAGAATGTTAATTAAAAAATACAAAGGGAAGGTCTTGTACCATACATCAGGTCCTGGTAGTAGAGAATGTGTTAATTAAATAGTACAGAGGGAAGGTCTCGTACCATACATCAGGTCCTGATAGTTGAGAATATGTTAATTAAAGTACATGAGGTCTTGTACCATACATTAGATTATGGTAGTTGAGAATATGTTAAAAAGTACATGAGCCGATCATTGCGGCCATCATGCATGTTATAAGTGAGAAATTCTAAGCGTAATTTCAAGTGATAATCCATGCAAAGATGTCAATGCCCGATAACGGTAAATAATTATAAAATTTTTTTATTGCAAAAATGAAAAGTAATTTTCGCTGTTTTTTATAATCAAAAATATTAATTTTTAAACTTACCATTTTCTGGTAGATATCCCCAGTGTGATTGAGGATGCGGTTGCTCTAAAAAAAAGTTGTTAAAAATCAAACAATTCTTTCTAAATCTTGAAATAATTCAAACATTTGACAATTTGAAAATAATATTTTGATGATATTCCAAGGTTTTATGAGGAGACTGTACAGACCTGGTGGAATCATAAGCATAAGTTTTTCCACGTTCTTTTCTACAGCAACAAGAGTTTTCGTCAGCTGCGCTTTAAACCCGTCACAAGGAGTGTAACCAGTGCTGTCGTCGATGAAATCACTGAAATACATTTGCAAGCTCTGTGCCCGCAACAAGGCTGGTGAAGACTCAAATTGATGATAGATCTCTGAGGCCTCTGATATGGCTGAGGCATCATAGTTGCTGATAAACACTAAAGCAGCGCTTAGCTCTTCGCAGGTTGATAATGGAGCAGGTGAGAGACGTTTCTTTCTTTTTGATGAATCTCCAGTTATTCCTTTTTCAAGAGTCTCAAGCATCTTCATTACGTCATGCAGTATCTTCAGGGCACTCTTTAGTGCAGCTAACTCAGTACGTAACGCTTCTATTTCTTCATCGCTTAATTTCTGAACAATGAGAGTAATAGATATCACAGATCTTTCTGTAGACGTAATTTTTTGTCAACCCCTGCTTATATTTCTGATTCACAACGGTACCCACACAATCTTTACCTCTACATACAAAGGAAGATAACTAAAAAGTGTAAGTACAAATTGGCAGGCTATTATGCTTTTAAAGAGAACCCACAAAAGAAAGTTGTCAATTTTCATCTTGGGAAACTTAAGAGAGAATTTTGCTCAGACTTCGGTTATAAGATATCATGATATGGGGCGTGCTTAGGGTTGTTAATCGTTTTTTGCTTCGATTTTCAATCGTTTTAAAAAATGATAGTTTCGTTTTCGGGAAAAAACGATCGTTTTAAAAACGACCTACTCGTATTAAACTTTTAGAAAACAAATAACGATCGTTTTTATGAAAACGATTTGTGACCGTTTTTTATACGATTGTTTTTTAAAAAACGATCGCTTTTTAAAAACGATCGTTTAAAAAAAAATTTATTGACAATTAGGTTAACGATCATTAAAGAAGAATCGTCTTTTAACGATCGTTAACGAAGGGTTGTCGTTAACGATCGTTAACGAAACGACGAACTTTATATAAACGTTTTTAAAAAATGTGATGCAAATTTATTGAATGTCATCTTACATGAAGTGAAAGAGTTGTGAGGGATTTAAAACTTCTTGATATTCTCTTGAAAACTACTCAATGATTATAAGTACAGATTCCCTTCAGGTCGGTTTCCTCTCTTCGTTAACGATCGTTAACGAAGGGTACTCGTTAACGAAACGACGAGTTTTATAAAAAACGAATTTGTAAAAAACGATTGTTTCGTTTTTGATTTTTCATCGCCTTTTTTATGAGGAAACGATCGTTATTTAAAAAAAGAAAACGTTAACATCCCTAGGCGTGCATATCTTTCTTTAAATGTATCACATACAAGTTAGTCGACATTCTCTTGAACAAACCCTACGACGTGACACGTTCCTCTCATATCCACTTTTTTTGCCTTTTTATTATTTGTTTTCTGTAATAACATACTTACACAGTGCGATACAAAATATAATGTACAAGTTTAAAATTAAATTAGTCCCGGTCATATCCTTTAACTCACCCCACAATCAACACGGCTTGCTTCTCTTGGCGGAACAGTTTCAAAACAATAGAACGTATCATCCTGGAATACTCACATCATTTCCACTTACTTACTTTGGATTTGGAACATTTTTTTTCAGAAAAACAATGTTTTTAATTTGGTAAAATATACGTTGATATTGAGAAGAATAAAGGACAATCTATAATAAAATATGAAGAAAATTTATATTTTTATCCGATATTTTTATCATAAATTGATATAAACCATCTTCGATTAAAAATTTAGTTTTCGCGAGAAAAGGTATTAATTCAATTTAGGACATCATGCATGCATTGCCTGTCTATTTGGGAAAAATATGAAGGCTGAAATTTTCCATCTAATTAAATATGTTTGCAAAATTTAAACACACTTGTAATCTTTTTAATCTAGAGCACTTTTACAAGTACAGCAATTGTTTAAATGTCCTAGATACAGAATATTAACCATCTGATATTTTGACAATCTTTAACGGACTGTAAGTGTAGTAACCCTCCAAGCAAAGATGGCAATGTCCGATTCACAACGGAAACCCTTAAAAGGTTTGTTTTATCACTGCAGGAAAACACCTTGGAGTTGTTTAGAATTCAACAATTTTAAAACAGAAAAACGATAATATCTTCTAGATTTTTCATCAGATACCGGTTTTACGGGTTCTGTTGTGAATCAGGCATTGTAATTTTTGCATGGAGGATTACTGAAAACTACGATTACAGTCCCTTTTAAAGATTGGGTGCTAGTTTAAGATTAAAGAGTTATTATTATTTTCCTTGATTTGGTCATAATTATTAAACTGCTCATACTAGATGCACGTATTAGGTTGGCTTATAAGATTTTTGGACAGTGTTTAACATTATTATGCTGAGAAATGTCATTTTAAAAGTTCTGTAAATTACTAATTATTCACTCTTCAGAGGTTTCAAGATGATAGTTTCAAAGTAAGAGTGCTAAAGCAACAAGACAAGATGGCGTTGAGGGGGGGGGGGTGCAACAAACGCCCCCACCAGCCTTTTTAGTTTATATTTAGCTTGAAATGTGTTCCTTAATGTAGAGACATTCATCAATACATTTCTCCAGTTGTTTCTCTTTAAACACAGTATTCAGATAGTATACACCATTCAAGGAGGGATCCACAGAATCTAGAAATAATTTATACATTTCTTATCATCTGTCTATATACATGCAGGGTTAGCCACAAAACAGAGACGACTGTACGGAATTTACATTGTCTTTTTCCTTAAATTCATGACTCCTTGCCACAAGGAACTTGCTTTGTTCTTTACCAACTCATGAAATAGGTCATTAAAAGATTATATTCAAGACTGACGACTTTTAATTTGCCCTTAGAATCTTCTTATTTCAGGTCGTCTTTACAATCTCAATCTCTCAATCATTTGTGGGTAACCCGTGTAATCAGTAGTAATCTCTGCTTGTCTCTATCTATTCTAAATTGAGTGGGTTGACTTCTATAAGTTTCATATATTTTGGAACAATTATCTAGTGTACATGTATTTATGAAAAATTGTTTTATATATTTTTTTTGTGCACGTTTCTGAGTTAAAAAATTTGAAATTTTTCTCTCCAGTTCTACAGCTTAACTGGAACCAACCTAGATATAAAAGTTAATACCTGTAACATTTTTCACGTCACAGCACTCCCCGTTGACCCTTGCTGACATCCCTGCAGCCAGGAGCAGAAGGCACGAAGCTTAATAGGATTGTTTAACTTTAATAATGATCATTCAATTGAATATAAAGAATTAGTTTAACCAAATCTGCTTAGTTGAACTACTGGTTGTTAAACCAGATCGTTATAGTTAAATTGAACCACTTTTCTCATGTCTACGAGATTATCGCAGTTAAATAACGACAACCAATTAAACATACACGCTTGCCAATTTCTATCTACAGGGTGAACCTAAAAACATGGGAATTCAGGCTCGAATTCGGTATCGTCTTTGTTATGAATTACCATTGTAATACCTAATTTCAAAAGCCAGTTTTAAAAGAGTTTATTTTATGTAAAGGGTAAATGGCTGTAAAGATGTGTCTATAATGTCTCCGCAAGATCAACAGTGAAGCGGACAAGTTTACTCTGTTTGTATAGTTTACTATAGTTTACTAAGTACAACCGTATGCAGTCTAAACATAAACAAACAAAATGTGAACATAGCAGACAAAACTCTTACAGACTACAGCTTTCTCAGTAGGTATCACTATACTAAATCAAAGAATTATTTTAATAGACGATATCGAATTCGTCAATAAATAGTATATTTTTTTTAATATCAATAAAGTCCTGAAAAAGTTTAGTTCATTTATGTCAGAAAAGCTCTGGCAACATTTAGTTTATTTATGTTAGTATAGATCCGAAAAAATTTAGTTTATTAATGTCAATAAAGTTCTGAAAACATTTAGATAATTTATGTGAATAAAGTACTGAAAAAAAATAGTTTATTTATGTCAGCAAAGTTCTGAACACCTTTGGCTAATTTATGTGAATAAAGTACTGGAAACATTTAGTTTATTTTTTCAGTTGTGAAACCTTTAGTATGTTTATTGCAGATAGTAGAACTTTTTTTAATTTTTTCATACAAAAGAAAAATGTTAAATTTAGAAAGAAATTGACATTAATGGTCTTTTCTTAAACCTTACAACTACAAGTATAGTTAAGCAAAAAGTTGTTATAATTCATTATTATTCAGTCGTATAGTGCGTGCATGTGAAACTTAGCCTTGGGCAATTTTGTTGTCTTCAAGTTTGCTTTTATTGCCTAATACTTACGACTATGCTAAATAAAAATCGTTTTAATTTAATTTTCTTTCGCAAAAACAATATTGCTAGTGTTGTTCAAGAAGTTTAGTAAAAGCCTAATAACCTTGCATGACTAAAAACGGATCAGTTTTTATTCCCGTACACAACAAATACACTGATTACTTTCATCAAACTCTAATAAAAGTTTCCTTACAACTTTGCAACCTGATAATGCATAAATCTTTGATAATGCAAACTGTGCATCAGACAGTGAAAGTTAAAAAAATTAATGGTTTACTTTACACATTTAGGTTTAAAACATAAACTGATTAGAAAATAAGAGTTTGAGGTACGTAATCAGTTCTATAAAGTTATATGCATAATTTTAGTATTAATTAATTAATATTTTAACAACTTAAAAAGACTGTAAGCATATTTCAAGGAACCCTCAATGCTTTGGTACTCTTAAAACCTGGATCCGATATCAATGTTGGAGATTTTATCCCACATTCTGATAATTCTGATAATTCTGCATTTTATCCCACATTCTGATAATTCTGATAATTCCTGCATTGTTTCCTGCCGAGGAAATGTCACCTTATTGTGGAGAAACCTTGATTGAAAAAATCAGTTTTCAAAATAAAAAATATTAATACTTTATCAGACAAAGCTTTTAACGGCACCGTAAATGGAGGTTCACTTGAAAATATGCTTACAGTCCCTTTAAGAATGCACTCAATTCTTACCAAACAGCGAATACATGTTGAAAAAACACTATATGTAGATGAAGAAAAGTTGCACAGGATAGAAGATGTTGTAAACGCCTAGAAGGTAGGCGAGGGATTGAAATAATTAAAATTTGCTAAACTATGAAACATTTAAAATCATTAAATGGAGTGTTCGCGAAAAATTAAAGGGGGTATTGGCTTAAAGGGACTGTAAAGGAAAAATGAAAGGGGGTATAAATAATCACTTTAGCTCTTGATCGCGACCCATAAAAGTTTTATCTGATGTTCCTGTCTCGAGAAATTGATATAAAACTGTGTTAAAATTATACGAAAGTTCATATATGTAAAATTTAGAAAACCTTAAACTTAAATAACGTGACCAGAACCATCACAAATGGCAGAGCAGTATACTGGACACGTGTCTCCGCCTGTATCATGTGACCACTTTACTGCACTGCCATTGGTGGAATTTATGGTCAAGCAATACAGGCGTGTATAAATTATATTATGAATTAAATCTATAAAAATATAAATAACAAATATAAAATTAGAATTGGAGTAAACCTAAGTTACAACTAGCTTTCTCTGGGATATCATCGTTTTCTGATTGGTTGCATATTTAGTGAATTTGATCTTTTTAAACCCACTACTTTTATGCAAATTCAGAAAATTGCAATATGCAACTCGGATCGTAAAAAATCAATTTAATTTCAAACAAATCATTCAGATATTACAACCAATAGTCACGAATTATTTTTCGACGCATTTGTATATAGTTGATATTTCATAAAATTTGTTATTTGTTTTATTTACAATTGTACTTAAAACGATGTTTTTTTTCCGCTTGGTGTTTCATCCACGGGTAATCATTTAAAGCATCGAGAGATACATGGCGGCCAACTATTTCAACCTTTTCAATGCATTGTATACAAAACCAATAAAATATAATATGAAATATTAACTATATATCAATGCGTCGAAAAATGATCGATGACTATCTGAATGATTTGTTTGAAATTAAATTGGGTTTTTTATGATCCGAGTTATACATTGCAACTTTATGAATTTGGTATGGACGATATGTTCTTTAGTGTAAGTGATTTTTGATAATTTTCTCCTTACAGACGCAACAGATAGAGGTAAGATTAGTAGCGATCAAAAGCGATTATTTTTCGCCGTAAGCCTATACCCCCTTTCATTTTTTCGCGAACACTCCCTTTAAGCATCTGTTCATCTCTTGTTAAAATAAAAAGTATGAATGACTAATACCTAGAAACAGACAGCTTTTGTTTTAAAATATAATATTTTTATTAAAGGGGTGGTAGGAGCGCGGGGAGGGGTCTTACCTGTTAATTATTACATGGAGTAATAAAAAATAATCAAAATAAGGTATATGTTGCAAATTTATGAATTTGTGTAGACGCTACGTTCTTTAGTGTAAGTGACTTTTAATAATTTTCTCCTTAGAGAGACGCAACAGATAGTAGTAAGATTAGTAGCGATCAAAAGTGATTATTTTTCGCCGCAAGCCTATACCCGCTTTCATTTTTCGCGAACACTTCCTGTAAGCATCTGTTCATCTCTTGTTAAAATTAAAAGTATGAATGACTAATACTTAGAAACAGACAGCTCTTGTTTTAAAATAGAATATTTTTATTAAAGGGGTGGTGGGATTGCGGGGAGGTTGCTTACCTGTAAATTATTTCATGAAGTAATGAAAAATAATCAAAATAAGGTATACGTTTTATCTTCTTTATATACAAAGTTAGCTGTTATCAAAACAGCTGAACCGATTGGGATCCATTTTTGTTAACTCACTTGGCCCCACAGAAGGTTTATTGCCATTCGATAAGTTGAAATATTTTGACTTAAAACAATGTCAATAACTAACGATTTTAAATTATCCATGAATTTATCTAAATTTATCGCTTTTAAATATCTTAAATAATAGTTTATCAATTACAAACCTTATCACTTTCCATAGAATATGAAAGATTTTAGAAAATCTATTATTAAACCTAATGACGGGGAATATTTTGTGTAAAGGATGAAAAAATAGCCCATTGAAAAATAAAATTTAAAAGCAAGAATTGTTCCAAAAAAAATTGCACGAAGCACCCTAAAAGTGAAGTTGTATAATTGTATATTGTTGACTATGTTTATTTTGACTGATTAAAACTTTATAGTGCAGGGTGAAATCTGAGAAAATGATCTTGTTAGTATAATCTTTATACTGTAAAGGGTGTCCCGAAAACTAGGGAGATTGAGTTTTGAGATTTAGAACGAGTAAAAACTTATTCATATTTTGGATGATTCGTTTACTTGTCCCACAAAGGTATTTTATGATTACCTTAAAAAAGGTTAATTTTATAATTGTTTATATAAATACTAGGTTGGATACCCAGCTTTGTCTGAGAATCTGCCCCCACCCCTTTTTATCAACCTACCTGGCTTTTCCCACTCCGGAAGTTTTAAGATTGCTGAATATGATAATATCAGACGCATCTAACCCTGGTCAGATCTGACCCCCACCCATTTCCCCCTCTCCTCCTACATTACATTAATTATGTGGTTAAGGGTTTCGAGAGTTATAATTGGATGATCAATCAAACAAATATGCTTGTAAGTAATATACAACAGTATTAAACTCTAGTACAACGGATGAATTGTAGAAATCAAGATAGCTACTTTTTTCAATACCATGCTTTATTAAAATATTTTCTAAATTTTTTTGTTTGTACAATTTGACCTCGAAGTTTTGGATTGGTCTGGACAAATGAATTTTTTTTAAACAACCATATTAAATCAATGGAAGTTTTTCTTTGGTCGAAATTTCAGGCAATCTCATGCGCATTTTATATTTTAAATTGTGTTTAAGCTATTATTATTTATATCAGTATAGCTTAAAACTTACTTTTTAAAGTGAAATGGGTACATTGTACAGTGTTCAGTGTAAATACCTCAATTGCTGTGTTACTGTGTGTTTATTAGCATATGTATTATCTTTTATTATTATCATTTTTAGTCTTGCATTGTACAAAGAGAAAAAAGATTAAGAATTGAAGAGTACTAACAAAAAGATAATCGAAAGCATTTCTTTTCGATTTAATTTTTCTTTTCTTTTTTATAAATTTATCTTTTACTCCGCCACATTAACTTATCTGATCTAATTCCATAGCAAGCAATTTATTATTCTAGATAATGATTTGAAAACCTAATGTAGCAAAACTGTATTTTTAACTATAAGAAACATCTGTAATATAATCTAGAACATTAATCTGTTGTATCCAAGGTTAAGATTTAAAAATGAATTCCACTCCACGATATTGAATCGTGATTTCAAACTATTATTTTCTTCGTTTTTATTTTTATTAAATGTTAAACTCCATGACTTAAATACAAAAAACCTCCGTGGTTCAGGGAATAAACTCGATTGAATACCTCCAGGTTTCTGGCGTTAAAATCCAAGGTTTATCTGATAAAATCCAAGGTTTATCTGATAAAATCCATGGTTTAGCTGATAAAATCCAAGGTTTATCTGATAAAATCCAAAGTTTATCTGATAAAATCCAAGGTTTATCTGATAAAATCCATGGTTTAGCTGATAAAATCCAAGGTTTATCTGATAAAATCCAAGGTTTATCTGATAAAATCCATGGTTTAGCTGATAAAATCCAAGGTTTATCTGATAAAATCTAATGTTTATCTGATATATAAAATCCAATGCTTAGCCGATAAAATCCATGGTTTAGCTGATAAAATCCATGGTTTAGCTGATAAAATCCATGGCTTAGCTGATAAAATCCCTGGTTTAGCTGATAAAATCCAGGTTTATCTGATAAAATCCAAAGTTTAGCTGATAAAATCCATGGTTTAGCTGATAAAATCCATGGAACAGGTAATATCTACCAAATGTAAATGATGAACTTCAAGGTTTAAATGTGATAAGATTCATGGTTCAAATTATAAACTCCATGATTTAAATAATAAACTACGTGCTTTAAATAATGAACTTCAAGGCTTAGATGATAAAGTCCATAATTTTAAAGATAAATGCTTTGGTTAAAATTAAAAAGAAATAACGTGATGAGCTCAAAGGTTTAGCTGATAAAACGCATAGTTCAGATTATATTATACCACAGTTTAGATATTAAACGTCCTGGTTTAGATGATAAAACTCCGTAATTTAAACGATAAATTCCATGGTTAAAACTAAAAAGAAATTACGTGACGAGCTCAAAGGTTTAGCTGATAAAATGCATGGTTCAGATTATATTCTACCACAGTTTAGATATTAAACGTCCTGGTTTAGATGATAAACTCAAAGATTTGATGTCTTGAATATTGTGTTCGCCTGAATTCGTTTGATGCAGTGTGACCACGGCATGTTCTAGCTAGTTTAGAACCATTGAAGAACTGTAAGATCTAAAAGAAATAGCGAGAAAAAAACTAGATATATGTTTTTTATTTTTAGATCTTTGAAAACTGTTTTCAGCTAAAAGACCCAGCCAAGACCTCGTCTATCATTCACCGTATGGGAGGAGAAGAGTTCTTTCTTCAGAATAACGTAGAAGGAAGACCCTGTGTGCAAACAATTCTGGCAAAATAACCAGGATACCAAGATATAAGAATATGAAGGAGAAGTGATAAATATCCGAGAAAAGAACAAAATATGGAAACATATATAGATAGACACATAGTTGATGATTGTATGAATCAGTGATGTGAAAAACAACAGAGCAGGTGTCGGAGAGCTGTCAATCAGGATCAGCAACAGGGAACACTTGGAACTTTCAGCGAAGAAAGGTTTCCTTCGACTTTTAATTTTAAATATTGTAACCTTGTAAAGATTTCTCTCCTGTAGAGTAAATCTACCCCTTCATAGGTTCTTAGTCTCAAGTAAACAAAAAACAAACATTATTATATATATTAAAGGGACTGTAAGCGTAGTTTAGCTAGTGCACTGGCTGAGCTGGCTTAAACAAACATCAATATATATATTAAAGGGACTGTAAGCGTAGTTTAACTAGTGCACTGGCTGAGCTAGCTTAAACAAACATTATTATATATATATTAAAGGGACTGTAAGCGTAATTTAACTAGTGCACTGTCTGAGCTGGATTAAACAAACATTATTATATATATTAAAGGGACTTTAAGCGTAGTTTAACTAGTACACTGTCTGAGCTGGCTTAAACAAACATTATTATATATATTAAAGGGACTGTAAGCGTTGTTGAACTAGTGCACTGTCTGAGCTGGATTAAACAAACATTATTGTATATATTAAAGGGACTGTAAGCGTAGTTTAACTAGTGCACTGGTTGAGCTGGCTTAAAAAAAACATTATTATATATATTAAAGGGACTTTAAGCGTAGTTGAACTAGTGCACTGTCTGAGTTGGATTAAAAAAACATTATTATATATATATTAAAGGGACTGTAAGCGTAATTTAACTAGTGCACTGTCTGAGCTGGCTTAAACAAACATTATTATATATATTTTAAAGGGACTGTAAGCGTAGTTTAACTAGTGCACTGGCTGAGCTGGCACAAACATTATTATATATATATTAAAGGGACTGTAAACGTAGTTTAACTAGTACACTAGCTGAGCTTGCTTAAAAAAAACATTAATATATATATTAAAGGGACTGTAAGCGTAGTTTAACTAGTACACTGGCTGAGCTGGATTAAACAAACATTATTATATATATATTAAAGGGACTGTAAACGTAGTTTAACTAGTGCACTGGCTGAGCTGGCTTAAACAACCATTATCATATATATATTAAAGGGACTGTAAGCCTATTTATTGAGTTGCAGCAGGTCATATTCAGTAAACCTTTGTCTTAAGGAATAAATAATGTTATTTTCCGTTTTCAATTGTTTTTTCTACTTGACTTGTAGATAAATGCAACATTGACAAGGAAGAAAAATGTCAGAATTCAACTTATGTTGTTTATATAAAGGTGATTGTGAATTGTACATGCCATGCACTCAATAGATGGAGGTTAACTTGAAATTACGTCTACAGTCTCCCTTTTAGCAAACTTTAAATAAATATTAGTTTAGCCAAGGAATTAAGTTCATATAGTTTGTGCATAATATAGGTTAAAATACTTGGCTTTTTAGAAATAAATTTTAAGTTTTTAATAATTTTTGTTTGGTTTTCTTTTAGGGTCAAAGAAAAGCAAATGATTCCAAAATTCTAAACATTTGCCTAATTCTTACACTTTGCCAAAGGTATTGATTCTTTATCACAAACTCTGATTTTATCCTACCAATTTCTATTTCGGAGAGCATATTTTAAATTATGAGTTCTTTTTCATCAAAAAATGACAGTTTGAAATATTAAAGGTTTACACCATTAGGTTGTAAAGATATAGGGAATAGAAAATCAGAATTTCTTTGGCAAAGTTTAAGCAAAGCAAATGTTTAGAATTTTGAAATTCTTTACACTATGACTAAAAACATAAAAAAACGTATCAGAAACAAAAAACGTATCAGAAACAAAAAAACATATCAGAAACAATCAAAAACATTCGTTTAGTTATAGCAATTGTTTTACATCGTTTCTCCATTTTTTTATGATAAAAATGTTGGAAATGTTAATAGAAGCAAAGTTGAACAGAATACAGTTTAAAAATATTGGAAGTTTTGTTTAGAGTTGTCAAAAATATAAAACAATTATGTCTGAACACAGTTTTTTAAAACAGAAAGAAATATTTAAGCAAATATTAACAGTTCTTAACCCTATCCCGATTGGGCTATTTTGACTAATATAGATGGAAGGGGGGGGGATGTTTTCCATCATCCCCCCCCCCCTCCTATGATTTTGCCCTTAGAGTCTCCGAGTCTCATAAATTGCTGTGTGATGT